CGCTGTGGCTAGAGTCACGGACACCGTGAATATAATGCGTTCACGGACATTCGATGCGCGCATGCGCAAATACTATATTTTGTTATCATGTCCGGGTATCTACTGAGTATCCGGACACTGATAAAATTATTATCATATTATCATTATTTAATACGTTTGTCCGTACATTGTTTTAATATTATCAAAATACGTTTTCCGTACATTATTTTAATATTAAAAGTATATTGTTTTAATATTATCAAAATACGTTTTCCGTACCTACATTATGTCCGTACATTAATATATTAACACTTTAATATTTTAAATTATTATTATTATAACTTACCACAATATTACTTACCTTAAACTGGCTAATTATTATTATTTTTTAATAAATGTTAAAACAGTGCTGTGAAGATTTAATTTATTTATTACATACATTTATACACTTTGAACAAAACCAAGCACTATTTTTTTCTTTGGATGCAAGTTTTTTCTCACATTTTGTGTGATACCAAAGTAAGCAACTATCACACAAAATGGAGTTGTCGGAACCAATATCTATATTACAACGTAACGTCTCTTTTTCTTCATTTGTCATGAGCCCTAGAGCTACTACTTCGCTTTGTCCATTGCCATCTTCCACCATCATTACATACAATGGAATTCGTAAATTATTTAATTTATACGTTGCATCTGCAAATACTACCTATAATGATAATTTCAAGAATAATACAACATTTATTCAGAATAAAACATTTATTAAAGATTGTACATCAATTTTAATTACATTTAAATTCATATATTAGTTTACATATAATTCACAAAATAACCATACCATACTTGGCAGACTAATAGTTCACATATAATTCACAATATACCTTACCATACTTAACAAATTTATACTTTATTACCAAATTATTATATTATATAATTGAAATAATTGACAAATTAGTATTCCACATTTATAGTAGTATTTTAGTTTATATATTATTGACATTGTATTACAAATCTAAAAATACACATCTAATTTCCAATAAACCTCTATATTTCCTACCTCAGGAAATGCTTTAAATGTATTCTGCATTATTTTATCCTGGATAAACAGACCAATCAAATTTTGATCGCTATCAGCTGATATTTCAACAGTACAATTATACGTATTTTGCAACTGCTCGACAATTTCACTCAAACTGTTGTGGCTTGGTGTTTTTCCTGCAAAATAATAAGAATTATTGCATTACAACTTCTAACTGGCTAAAATTCATACGTACTACCTGTGGTATATATATTGGCAATATCTTTGAGATTTATGACTTTACCGGTCTTCGTTTGCATTTTGTGCTGAATTAACTTCTTATTGGCCTTCAACTTCATTAATTCCAACACTTCCATTTTCTCTTGAGGGGTGACTCTTCGCTGATTTGGGAGATGAGAAAATAATGTCTCCGACTTCTCGTGATTATGTTCGTCATTCATACGAGTTAATTCCAACGCATCCCCTTTTGCATTGGCAATTAGATAAATATACGCTTCACAACCCTGTCGCATTGATCTATACAATTCATATAAATTCATAAAATTCAAAAGAGTACATTTTGATAAATGAGAAAAAAATTAACTTACGAAGTACTACGCAGATCTTGGCAAGAATTTTTTTTCCTATAAGATCCGCCATGAACACATGCAAGTTTTACATAATAGTACTTCAATTGTTCAGAAGAATTGGCCAGTTTCGGGTACCGTCTAATTTGTGATTTCGCAGTTTTTGAATCTTTGATATAAAAGTCAACGAATGTTGACTTTTTATATTGACTTAAAGCCTCTTCAAAATCCGCGTAAGTTTTAAAAGCGTCGCCCACACGCATAGTTAAAATTTTTATATAATATACTTTTAATATTAAAACAATGTACGTACAAACGTATTAATATACTTTTAATATTAAAATAATGTACGGAAAACGTATTTTGATAATATTAAAACAATGTACGGACAAACGTATTAAATAATGATAATATGATAATAATTTTATCAGTGTCCGGATACTCAGTAGATACCCGGACATGATAACAAAATATAGTATTTGCGCATGCGCGCATCGAATGTCCGTGAACGCATTATATTCACGGTGTCCGTGACTCTAGCCACAGCGAAAATAATAACAATATTATTAAAACAATAAGACAAACTCACAACAATATGATATTGATGAAAATAATTGCAAAACAGAAATAAAATGAATAAAAATAATAAAAACACTAACCGAAAACGCGTATACACATTATACACTTCCCGTGCGTGGGTGTGTAAAATAAATAAACGCGAGTATTGTTGGTGTCTTTACACCGTGACTGTGCCTACAATAATATTCTATTTCTTGATCAGATAAAAGACTATGATCCAGATGATCTCTCTTCGGCAATGCGTAGGTACGCGAAAATATTGCAAAGTGTAAAACTGTAAACTCCGACTAAACTGCAGTCTGCAGAGTCCACTATAAATTGGTGTAGACGATTCTGACGAGACTGAGTGACTGAGTAGGTAGTGAGTAACGACTGTAGTTGCACTCATAGAATTCTACTGTTGACTGTTGTAAACGTGTAACTTGTGTCTGTTACGAATGTAACGACCGTGGCGGTGGCGTTGAAGCAATAACGTTCATGACAAAATAAACAATATGCCTATACAGTATTACCGTTGTACTGAAGTAACTGAACATTTGAACTGTGTTTGTAAACTTTGAATAAATTAAAACCGTCGTCATTGTTTATATAATTTCGTAACAAAGAGGGATACACGTTGCCAACATTCTATATTTCTATCAGATTATTCAGATTTCAGATTACGGATATGGTACAATTTAGGACTTTGGACTAGTTTGGAGTCCAATGCTTTTAAGACCGTTGTTTTGTGGTAGTGTTCTCTTGGGATAAATTGGTGCCCCCCCCCCCATCCACTCCGATAATGAGTCGCAACTAAAAATACACGCGCGCTCTCACAACTCACAACTCACAAGTCACAACGCAAGTACGGAACGATGACCCAATAATAATTTACGGTGAAGAACGCCGAAAATCCCCATTTTTATTCATATATCGTTATTATTCGTTTATGCACGGGCACTGAGTACTGACAGAACTACAGAAGTCGGAAAGTGCAGTGTATT